AACCCAACCTAACCCAACCTAACCTAACCTAACCCTAACCTAACCCTAACCTAACCCTAACCTAACCTAACCTAACCTAACCTAACCTAACCTTACCTTTAAACAGACCAGAGTTGGTCTCCCCGTTGGTCCGGACCTTTTACGCAGGTGTGAATAGACTCGTGAACCCTGGTGCAGATCAAACAACCGGACCGAGACCTGTTTTTGAGATGGTCTGAGTGTGCTTCCAAACAAACTCTGCTGTGAATACAGACCGGCCAGGAACAGAACCAACTACAGGAAGCGTGCACCTTTTTTACAAGCTACCGTACCCAAACCACATTAGTCCTTCAGTGTTGCAAACACTGTGCTACAAAAAKGAACCATTGTGGGTTAGGGAACGTGGAGCATCTTGTCTCCTTCAGGTTGTGGCACACATTTGACAACACTGTCCCAAAATTATATCACTGCAAAACCTCCACTGAATGAGCTGCTCTTGATATTTTTAAAAGTCAGTCGTTATTAACATCTGTATTTCTGGGTCTGTGCTTGTCCTGACTGTCACCTGCATGGCTTTTCTTATTTTTAAATTAAAGTTTGCTTGCTAAAAGCACAGTGTGAGTGCAAACCGCACCAAAGGAAAAACATGAAGTCACTATTTGGTCCGGACCAAACAAGTGAACCAAAGGACTTTGCAGGTGTGATCCACCCTCCAGATAAAAGCACTGAAGGAAGAGGAGATTCCATGTGATGCTGCAGCAGCTTCATGTACCACAGTCTGTGGACACCACGCTGCCTCACACACTCTGACATCAGCACCAAGAAGTGTCTCATTTTTTAAACAAATGATCTCAATCAGAACAGGAAGTTCAATGCTCCAATAAAAGATGAAAAAATATTTTTATAAGAAATCAGAAGTGGACTTGTTCACCTTCTTATGGTCAATCATGTCAAACTCAGCTTTAATTARGAAACTAAAGCATTATTTCTGTTCCTCAGGTACTACCACTACCTGTTCTCCCACTACCTGCCTCAGTCTCTGCGAGTGCTCGTGGACCGCACATCCAACTGTGAGGACATCCTCATGAACTTTCTGGTCTCTGCTGTAACTCACCTGCCGCCCGTTAAAGTGGCTCAAAGAAAGCAGCACAAGGAGATACCGGTCCCACAGGTATGTCTCACACACACACCTGTGAACACTTGGATTGTTTCTTGACTTTCTGAAGAAAAGACACAGACTCTGTCCTCTCTTGCCAGGTCACCAAGAGCGTCCCCTGGGCCAACCCAGAACACTTCAGTCAGAGGCAGGAGTGCATCAACACCTTTGYCAGCTGGTTTGGTTACATGCCTCTGGTCCATTCACAGTTCCGCATGGATCCGGTCCTCTTTAAAGACCAGGTTTCCATTCTCCGCAAGAAATACAAAGACTTGGAGCGGACTTAACTTAACAAACTGACAGGAGTCTGAGAGTCTTCTTTAGGGACCATCAGGAAAGAAACAAAGCTCACTCAGCTGAGGACAGGTCCACAAGTGACGGAGAGATCCCAGTGGTTCCAGCCAACAGCAAACACAGAACAGACAAGTCTGAAAGTTGTGTTTCGTAGGACTGAAGGTGCACAGTGACTCACTGAGAACAACAAAGCTGAGGACTGATGGTTCCAGAAGRAGCAGCTGTGGTGCTGGTCAGTCCAGTGTCCCTCAGCAGAGACTGCAGCTGAGAGAACTGATAAATCCAGTCAAACTGTAAAACCAATAAAGTCTTTTCTGAAACAGATTTGTGAGATTAGTGTCCTCAGGCTCTGTAGGACATGTCCAAACCATCTGAAGCTGACAGATGTTTCTTCTGAAACTCTACATGCACTTTGATTCAAGCTCCTGCAGCTGTTCAACACACAGCAGGACTCTGAGACGAGTTTATTTGATCTGTACAGGAACTGATGTTTGGAGGTCATTTTTAATTATTATTCAATCAAACAAAAAGCAGATTCAATCAAAAAATATTGTTTTTTTTTGCAGAACAGAAACTTTTGGTTGATGCTTTAAGTTTTTATTTGAACTCAAAAACGTTTTGAACGGAGAGAACACGAACATCTGGGGTGAGATCTGAGGAGCAACTATGTAAGGTGTGTCCCTATTGGTTAGTGCGTACTGGAGTGAGTTCCTGTTGTCCCTCCCTCTTCTTGTTTGAACTTTGACCCCAGCTCAGCTCTGCTCAGGAGGACCAGGCTGCTAACAGCAGTGACACACAGAGTGAGTGATAGGTCACTTCACAAAGTCCCATCATGTTACACTAAGGACATTCATGGAGATGATCTCAGCTGGCTCCCTGACTGCCCTGTATTAAACACAAATATGAGTCAACAAAAAACTTCAAGCATCAAACAAAAGTTTGAGATKCAACCAAAAATTTGTTTTGCAAAAAACTTTTTTTTATTGAAATAGCTTTTTTGTTTGGTTGAAATTATTATTTTTTTGGTTGAAGCTGTTTTTTTTGTTTGATTGAATTAAAAAATGACCTCCACAGAAATGAGAAGTGCAGGAATAAAAGTGGGAAACATCATCAGCAGGATGTTTGTATCAAAGGAGAAATATCAATAAAACTCTGAGTCTGCATGTAATATTAGGATGGACTGAAACATCTCAGATGATGCATCAGGTCACAGTGAAGAATACTGATGTGCTCACAGGTGAGAAAACACACCTGGATTTTTTCATCTCATCCAACTTGTAGCTTGGTAAACACCAGAGCGTAGTCCTGCGAGGGGAAACGAACTGAGCAGAGCTGCAGAGGAAGGCAGGAGCCAGGCTAACTTCATGACTTYCTGAAAATGGTTCATCTTTGGTTTGAGAAAAGACCTGAGGAAAGTTTGAACTGAGCAGGTAAAGAAGCTGTGAGCTTTAGATAAAGACTGGACTAAAGTTTACCTGCATCAGTGTCTTTACACCTGAGGAGGTGTGTCCCCTGGTAACCTGAGGCTTGACCTGATGCTGCTGCAGCTCTGACRGGTTGTAGATGCTGACGGTACCACAGACTCAAAACATTCAAACACACAAACAGTTTGAAAAACAAAAACCTTTATTTCATACAAAAACAGATTTGTTTAGAAAAAGGCCCTCAGGGTGAGCAGGGTTCACACTCAGGATCATCACCTGTGAGCTCAGTGGCTGCTGTAAACATTTACCTGCTGTGACTCACCTGTGTCAGCAGCAGGAAACTGTACCTGAGGAAGTGTTGCTTTCAGCTCACACAGCTGCCTTTTACACAACAACAACCTTCTCAGGTTGCTTCAAGTCCAAATAAACTAACGTGAAGTAAGAACAGGTCAACAGAACCAAGTCAGTGATGAAGAGGAGTAGAACCCCGTGTTCCAGGTGTCACCTGGTCCAGATGAGCCGTCACTTTCTAAGGGTCAACATGGCATTAACATCCCAAAGCAGGTTCCTCATCTGGTCCATCAGAACCTTCATCTCCTGGTTCTTCTGACGCACTTTCTGTCATGAGACAGGTGAGAATTAACAGAGGTTCAGGACATGAGCTCAGGATGTTCAGTCAGCTCCTCAGCAGGTTAGGGTCTGACTCCACACCGCCTCCTGCAGGTGTCTGAGAGCATCACATGACCAGCTAAAGGCTCGAATCAACACTAGAAGAGTTATCAWGGGACTTCTCATGGTTGGAGAGAGCAGCCATATTGTTCAGGGCAAGGACACTTCAGACAGCTGTTAAATGGTGAGGCTGAATGTGGGAACCAGGACATGTTAAGGTTAGATCAGTGAATCTCAGACTGTTTGTCTACATTTTATCATGTCTACAAAAAGCTGTTTGAACAGGAAGAAACCAACCAATGAAAACCTTTTTACAGGTCACTATAACAACAGCCGGGGACAGACCGCTTCATACTTCTTATACGAATTTTACAAATACTGGCATACATGTATATACTGGTACATACTGGTATAGTGCTGGGCGGTATACCGTTTTGTACCGAATACCGGTTTTTATTTTTGTTATGATATGAATTTTTTGAATACCAGACATTCCACTTTAAATAGCGGAACGTTTCGTCGCGGCCGCCAGTGAACTGTTGTTTCCCGGGGGACATTTTTCCTTGCTGCACCGCTATGTGTGTTAGCATGCTAATGTTTAGACCAGCTAGTTGCAGCAGCGGGTGGTGATTCCTCTGCTTATACTGACTGATGTTTAAAAAAACATCCCGTTGTCACCATCACTGAATGTAGTAAACACCTCTTCAGTGACGTGCACAGTTAGATTTAACATGGTTAGTTAATATGGAGACTTA